AGAGAGAGAGAGAGAGAGAGAGAGAGAGAGAGAGAGAGAGAGAGAGAGATATTAGTATCTCTGTCTAACTCTAATGCGTTACATTATCAAAATATTAATAAACATTGATTAAGTTTTATCGGATAAAGTTCCAAAAGAAACTCATCTATTTTGTTGTTGATTGATATATCATATTTTGAGGTGATAACAAATATTATCATATGTTGCGGCAATACGTGTCGTCCTTTCCTATAGTATATCTCGAATACTATTTATTCTAAAAATATGGTTCATGTATCAAATGGAATATCATATATTATGAACGCAGAAACGCACATCAATTTAAAAATTTTACAATAATAAATATAACAAATAAACTTTTTTGGCCATTATTATCGACCATTGAAAATGAAGCACAAATTGGACAAAAGAATTACCATCTTCAAACGTCTGTATGTCGGTCAATTTTTATCGAACATAAATTAACAATATACCATTTTGTAAAAAATTTTATAGGCTTTAATTTGTATTTGAGATATCTTTTATGTATACTTTGCCAAAATTGAGATTTTGCAAAAAAAAGATACCGCAAATCGCCTTTTCATGTCAAATGTCAAAAAACAAGCATTCTTATAATTGTCTTTCAAAAAATAAATTTTCTAAACTATATTATTAATACAGATGTATATATATACCTATATATACACTGGGCAACAAAATTAACGCAACACCTGTTCATTCTGCAAAAATAGGCAAATTTCAAGATACAATAACTTCGTCAAAAATTGTCGTATCGGGATGTTTAAAAAAGCATTTTACAGGTAAAAACTTCTACTTTTCGGATCGCTACTTACAAAAACGGTTTCATGGAGATTTCATGAAGTTACACAAACATAAGTAAAGATATATCAGACTTCCAAATTTATTATGAAATTTGCGAAGCTCCACGGAGTGAAATAAAAATTGTATACAAATGCGATTTACATCAATCGAAAGAGCGAATCTTTAATTTAGTTTTTACAAAGCTCTGTACGATTTTTTTTCATCGAGTTATTTAACGTTAAAGCAAAAATGGCTTCATGAAATCTCCATGAGACTGTTTTTGTAAGTAGCGATCCGAAAAGTAGAGGTTTTTACCTGTAAAATGCTTTTTTAAACATCCCGATACGACAATTTTTGACGAAGTTATTGTATCTTGAAATTTGCCTATTTTTGCAGA